TCTTACACTGCTAAATTAGGGACGGCTAGCGCAGATAGCCCTCGTGTAGCTTTGCGCGAGTTTCAAAAAACAAACAAACAATAAAAATGTAACAAAGTAAAGTTAATTCACATATTACCTGGATTGCACGAACCGATATTTCCACGAACCTAACAAGTTCGGATCTAAGGTATCGCTATGTTGTCAAAACCACAAAAGGTTGGACCAGTTGATAAGTAACAAATAAAATTAAACTAAGTTCCACACGTTTTTAGAAACTTTGACAGCTTTAGAAACAGCCCCCCCCCCCAGTGGCACAGCGGTATGTCTGCGGACTTACAACGCTAGAATCCGGGTTTCGATACCCATCGTGGGCACAGCACGGATAGCCCATTGTGTATCTTTGTGCTAAACTACAGAAAACAACAACAACTTTAGGTGTTGCTGGAAATTATGTTAAAATAATTATTTATATATATACTGTATTTCTTAAATGTTTTGAAACACCTGTTGATCTCATGCCGCGTTACCATATTCTACGCATGCTCCAACATACCTACATTGGTTTAATAGGATTCTTGTAGTCAAGTATAGGAGAGGCTCAATACTCTTATTTCTCCAACACTATTAAATAATTTTATTAATATAACTTCCTATACAGTCCGAGGTTTCTGCGTTCAAGAGTGTGGACTACTGGTTAGAGAGTTCTTGACCCGTTGCCACAGAAACGCTTTCTATACTTTGGGACCGTGGGTTCAATAATCAAACTCCACGATTCGATTCGAAGTGGATGGCGGAGTACGTTGACTATCTACCTTCCCTCTAGTCTATCGGTTCAAAATTAGGGACTAATAGCGCAGGTAGGCTCTATATAAATTTTACTCGGTGTATCAACTTCCAATCAGGGTAAGCTTGTTTGTTTGTTTTTGAATTTCGCGCAAAGCTACACGATGGCTATCTGCGCTAGCCGTCCCTAATTTAGCAGTGTAAGACTAGAGGGAAGGTAGCTAGTCATCACCACCCACCGCCAACTCTTGGGCTACTCTTTTACCAACGAATAGTGGGATTGACCGTCACGTTATGACGCCCCCACGGCTGAAAGGGCGAGCATGTTTGGTATGACGGGGATTCGAACCCGCGACCCTC